GTGAGGTGCTGGAGATGAGTAGGGAAGTTGAGGCTGGATGTGCACGCTTGGAGTCAGGCGCCTATGAGAGGATTTGCAGCCCCGGGCCTGGATGAGCTTGCCGGGGGGAGGGGTGTGTGGGGAGACAGAAAAGGGAGATTGCTCGAGGCAGAGTCCAGGGACGATGGGTGCCGAGGCCTGGCAGAGGGGAGGCAAGCCAGCCATGCCGCCTGGCGCCTTCTTTTCTCATCACCCGCGATGATGGCCATAGTGCCATTTGTCATCAAAGGGCTGCGACCCCAAACGTGGGCTCTGAAACTCTCAGTATGTATACCCAGGATCCAGACATGCTCTTTTTTTGAAGTTTGACATAAAAAGTGAAATAGAAAATTAAGTTCTTCTAAGGAACATGCGAGCCCCTAAGAGCATGTCCTGCTTGAAAGGTTAAGGGCAAACCTCCAGGCATAAGTCAGCGGCATTTAAGCTGGCCTAACCTGGAATTTCACAGAACACGTGCCCATGCACCTGCTCTTGGAGGACAGCTTCCGAGCAGCCTCCCTGATGGCTGGCTCTGCGGTGGGCTGTGTTGTCCCCACCCTTAGGACCCCTCCCTGTCCCTGGGCAGGGAGTGCCCTTCCTTGGGCTGGGCTCACTTCTGGGCTGCAGCCTCACGTGAGCAGAATATCTGCCTGCCTGCAAGGCCTCCAGCGGAGCGCCCCTCTCTCTAGGGCAGGGCCTTGCCCCTCTAGGAATCCCTGTTCGGAATGTCGTGATCCCTGTGTGTCAGAGAGTCGGGAAAGGAGGACATTTATTTTTAAATTAAGAGGTGTAGGGTGGGGATGCAAGGAGCAACGTAGAAAAGTTCCCAGGTGATTCTAGTTTTGATGGTAGAGGCAAGTCACCTCAGAGCAGATCTTGGCTCCAGAAGAATTCCCGAGTGTCCTTCTTAGTATGAGTTAGGTAGATACTTAATGCCTTAGGGAAAGAATGGAACGAGGTTTTTGTGTTTGCTTTGGCAAAGAAAGGAGGATGCTTTCACTCCAGAAGTTCTTGCTAGAAGAGAGATGAAGCCTGGACCTCATTCTTTTTGGGGTTCATCATTGGAAGAACCTCTCTGTTGGCCAGAGATGATCCCTGGCTGAGGTTGGTTGATAGGAAAGGACCTGTGAGGACACTTGCTGGAAGAAATAGGGGTGTGGCATGGGGGCAGGAAGTCAGGGACTTGTGTCAAGGGAATGACTCTGAATGACCAACCATTATAGCCAACGCATCAGTGACAGTGCCCAACAGGGGGCTGGAATGATGAGAGCCCAGTGCAATCTCAGGGGTGCAGGATTCTGCTTCCTGTCCCCACCCTGGAGAAGCCATTCCAGGAAGACCCTCTTGATGCCAGATGGCCACCCACGACAGAAGGATGATCTGGTGATGCTGGGGCCATTCCAGTCCCTTCCGTGTGCCCATGATAGGGGGAAGCTGGCCAGGGCTTATCATGCCCATTTTATAGGAGTAAAGACCAAGGCTCTCAGAGGGGAAGGCACTCACCAGAAGCCACAGATGAACTGACTCCTGTCAGATCCATGAATCCTTGACTCCAGCTTCCAGGGGCGGGGGAGGCTGAGTGTCCTGTTTGCTTCCCATGGGCGGAGAAAATGATTGGGTGTATACTGAGATGGAGAGGACCATTTGAAATCTGAGGGCCTGTCTGGGTTGGAAAGGCCTAGAACTTGTAGCTACAGAGAATTGGATCTGAATATCAGCTCTGCCCCAGACTGCTTTTTTTGACCCTTGGTAAGTCATTTAACCCTCTGAACCTCAGTTTACTTACCTGTAAAATGGGGACAACCTACATGCCTCCTAGGCCTGCAGCGTGGGTTAAAAGAGGTAACGTATACAAAGCACTGAGACGGTGGCCCGGGGTGCCCCTCTAACTCCACAGTGGTGTCCCCGTGTGCACGCACATCTCGGGTCCATTCCTACCACCGAATTGCTTCCATAGGGCAGGGTCCTCTCTTGTTTCTCTGAGTCCCCAAGACATACTATCGTCAACCCCGAGGATCTGAGGGGACACAGGCTCTCCGGGGGCTCGTGGGTTCAAACAACAGAGGAGAAAGCAACCGGAAGTCTTTGTAGAAGAGGGTAGGAAGTCGGAGCTACGCATGCAGGGCTGTGGGCACCGAGCCGAGAAGGTGAAGTCACCCAGCTCTGCCCACGTGTGGCTTGTGTTCCAGGTGTTCAAGGAAGAGGCAGCCTCTGAGAGAGAGCCTGTGAGATGTGGCCCCACAGGAACAGTAGCGACAGTGTCTGGAACCCTGGGCCGGGTGGCCCTGTGGTGCCGGGGAAGGGGAGCCTGCCGCAGACCTGCGTCAAGGAATTTGTCCGGTACTTTCCTCAGGGCTGATGATGGCATTTGTGCCTGGGCAGGGGATGGGGGCGGCGGGGGAGGTGAGTGGCCCAGTGGGGTGTCACTAGCTAGGTGGGCCAGTGGGGGTGCCCAAAGATGAGGCCACCGCTTGGAACCGAGCGCGGCTGCTTAGCCCTCCTCACGGGACTGTGTTCCAGGTGTTTCTCTCGTGCAGGGTGCAGGGAGGGAAGGAGGAGGAGCCTTTCCTCCACCCACCGGCCAGGGGCAGTGACTCCAGCCCCGGGACACGGGCGGGCGGGTCCCACCGCCTCGGTGGCCGTGGCAGGACACAGGGGGAGGCGGTGGGAGGGTGGCAGGCGGCCGGGCCAGATACCAGAGCCAGAACAAGCGGCCAGAAGCCCCGGGGATCCGAGCTGGGCTGGGAGGCGGCCCCCAGCAGGGGTCGGTGCTGCTGCCCTGCCCCGTCAGCTCCCCAAGGCCTGCCCCCGTGCCCCCTTCCCCTCCGCCCCCTCGCAGGCTGGCCTGTGGCTCCTCGCCTCGTGCCCCGGAGCCTCGGGCTTGCTGCTGTGCCTAGAGGGCCCAGCCGTGTGTGCAGGGCCCGAGGGGTCCCTCCGAACCCTCACCAGCCTCCCGGAGGGGACCTAGGTGGGTGGCCGGTGGGCAGAAGAGTTCTCTAGGGCCCGACGGCAGCCTTTTCTGATGACAGCAGTGACGACAGGAGCCGTGGTGGCCGCCACCCGCTGTGTGCCAAGACCCGTGTCAAGTTTTGGCAAACGGGCAGCTCAGGGAATCCCAGGCTGGGGGCTGGGCACCGCTGGCCCTGCCCCCAGAGCCCTGCCCGGAGCTGACTGCCGCCCCCACCCCGGGCTGTGGGCTGGGGTGGGGAGACACCAGCTCTGGGCACACCGGGCCCCCCAAGTTGCTGCCACTGAGTGAAGCCTGGGGAACCCAGGGGAGGGGGGCGGGGCCCAGCACCACCCCAACCAAGGGGAATGGTCTGGGTTGGGGTCCGCCTCAGTGGCTGATGGCTCAAGACGCCTGTCTGGGCTCAAACTCCAGGCCCCACCCCCCGAGGTCTGTGTGCCCTTGGCTGTCACACTCCACCTCCAGCCTGTCTCCTCACCCCTCCATGGGGAACGCAGCGTTGCAGGGGCAATGCTCTCTCGTGGCTTCGGGCCCATCGGACAGGAGCCTCTCTTCTCTAGAGGCGCTGGGAAGAAGGGTTGCTTTTGGCGCGGCTGGAAAAGGGGCCTGGAGGCCCCACAGGCAGCTCACACTCCACTCCGTCAGGGGAGCAGGGGAGCCTGGGGCCGGCCTGCGCTCTGGGCCCTTGGGCTCCCTCTGCTTGGAGGTGCAGGGCAGGCTGACCACGGTGCTCCGAGCCGCTGGTCGGGTGAGGGGGTGCTGCCGACCAACTCTGGGGGCGGGGGCTGAAGTCTGGACATGGGGAAGGACCCGGTAGGAGGCCACAGGCCTGACCCATCTCCCCTCCAGCGTGGCCCACCGCTGCTGGCCCCCCGATTCCCATGAGCACTTGGCAAGTTAGCGTAACTGGCCTGTCCCATCTGCCTGGCACCCCGGGCAAATTGGGACAGTTGGTCACCCTCTTCTCAACTGAGTCAAGGGTCAAGGTGGCTGGGTGGGGGGAGGAGGGACAGGATGGGTACCGTGGAGTCCCCATCAATGCCGGCCTTGGGGTATTCTGATAAAACCATATGGAAATAAGGCAAGCAAGTCACCGTTACCGAGCCCAGCCCTGGGTTTGTAGCAGAGCCTCAAGGAACGGACACAGCCCCACACTCAGCCAGCTCCTTCCCACGCCCCGCCCCCCCCATGGAAGACAATGGACAGTCCTCTTTCTAAGGATATTTTTATTGAAAATTAAAAAGGCATGGTACTTTCTTCCTTGTAAGTAGCATCCAGCCTGCCTCCCCTACCCCCCCAACGCTGCCCGTCCTGCCCCCTGGGTGTTCTCCGCACAAAATCCACAGTAGTGTCTCACTGGTGGACAAGATGGCCCAGACCGCACGTTTGTCCACGGAGACAGAACTCCTAGAGACAAGAGCCCTCTTCGTGTGTGCCCCTGGCACACCGTCAGGAAGCCAGATCTCAGTGTTGACATTCATGCATTAGCCAGCGCGCACGACCTGGGCTGTTGAAATCAGACTTTGTACAGATTTGGAGAGTACAGTGATCTTATATAGATATAGATATCTCTTTAAATATATATATATAACTATATATAATATATATGTCTATATTTTTACAGCTATTAGTCTTTCTTCCAAAACTTGCTTTAGAAGCTTCTAAGGAACACCTAAAAACTCTGGGAGATCCTATAGGCCATTCTAAGTTGGGCTCAACTAGGAGACAGTTAAAAAATATCTATTTGAGGAAAGGCGGAGAAGAAATGTGCATTTCGTTCTCGACCTCAACGTTTGGGCTAGTCTGAGGATTGATCTGGGTTGAGGGACTGCAGATACACTCCTGAAATAAACGTTCTGAGCTCAAATACCAGGCCGAGTGGTTTTTTTTTTTTTTTTCTTTCTTTTTTCTTGTCACTTAAGCCAAAACTCCGGTGAGGTTCCCTCGTTGCCACATGTGGGAGTTTCCAAATGGCCAGTTCTAGGTTTGGTGGGTTGACTTCTCACGTAGATTCTAAGAACTGGGTTCTTCTCTTGGTTTTCACTAACTGAGCGATAAGACTTTATAAACACGATTTGGGGGAATTTAGCACAAATGTTAGCTTTTCCCAGAGCCCCGGCTGTGTCCCCAGGGAAGGGGACACTGGCCCCAGAGCACGGTGGGTGGTCATCAGAGTTCCTCACAGGGAGCCTCGCCAGGGGCTGAAGGATTTAGCTAGTTGTAAAACCTCCCAGGTTGGAGCCAGGGTCAGGGAAGGTGGGATTGTGCAAAGCGGGCCTGTGCCCTGCCTCCCTGGGTGCCTCTCCGGGCTGGCTGCCCACCCCTCCAGTACCCCTTAGCCAGGATTCTCCCCTCTGGCTGAAGGGGCCTTCCCAGAGTGGCATGTGCTGAGAGTGGGGGTCCTGCCAGGGTATCTGCTCAGGGCACAGGCAGGGGACTTGGCAGGAGGCTATAGGCCGTGAGGGAAAGCGTCTCGCTGCAGACCCACACCCTCTGGCCTCTTGCCACGGGCTCTGCATCCCTGGGGGGGCGTGGAAGGCATGGGCGCCCGCCAGCTGGGGGGACTGACCACGGCCACTCGTGGTGGTGTCCCATGCTAACGTAGGCAGGGAAAGCAAAATCCAAATCCAAACCCAAAACAGGTCCTCACGCCGAAGGAAAACTGAAAGGAAGAAAGAAGCCTTTCTCAGAGGGTCTGGGCCTGGGCCTGTCCTCAGCCTGTTCCTGCTGACCTGGGGGTGGGATCCGGGTTAGGGTCTCAGCAAACTCACCTTCTCCCCTCTGCCCTCCGAAACACAACGGACCACAGACCGCTGACGGCACAAGGGCTCCGGGACAATGGATTTCCAAGGTTCAGCCTGAAAGGGGACTTGTTTTCTATCAGGCTTACCTGGATGGGAAAGTCTCACCGTGGCCCAAATCCCCTCCAGAGAGCTACACTTGGTGGTCTGTGAGGTGGACAGGATCCACCTAGCCAAGTCCCTACACGGAGAGAGTAGAACCACGAGGTCAGGAGTGTTCTCCCAATCCGCCAGGGGAGACCAAACCACAGGCCGCTGTCGCCACGGGGCTAGTCATGTGCCCACAGGGCCGGTGGCCCCCTGGGAAACAGGCCGGTGGACGGGATAACCAGGCCTGGAGGGTCTTCTCATTCCTTCCCTTCATCTACCAACCCCTCCGGAGGTTTCAGCACGTTTAGAACACAAGACCTGGGGAAGAGACATTCAAAGGGGAGCACTGGGAGAACACCACCTCTTTGTGGGTGAGGGGAGGCCGGAGGCTCTCAGGAGAGAGTCTGAGTACCTGGTTAGGGCCTCTGGAGGTGGTCAGGGAGAGCCAGCGCCAGGCTGGGGCAGCCTAGCCCGGAGCGCCCACAGAGGGCTTGGCACAAGTGGTGGCCTCCGCCGGATGAAGGCAGGGCCTGGCTCACACGGTGGCGTCAGTCGCTATGAGGATCAGCTGTGGGAATGAGTCTGAGGACAGGCAGAGGGGCCTCCGTCCTTCCTGGCTCCTTGGCCTGGTGTTCAGTGAGTTGTTTTGCCCCTGGAAGGTCACACACTAAAAGAGCCCCTCTGTCTGCTATCGGGAGGGGACTCCACAGGCCGGGCGCACAGCCCTCCGGGGCACGGGGTCGGGGGTCTAGAGCCAGGGGACCCGGATGTGGGTGGGAAGGGGAGGGAGGAGGCAGGCCCTGAAGACCGAGGACAGTCGCAGATGCGGTGACAGACAGATGTGTGGGAAGCACCTTTGGAAGGGGACGTCTCGTGGCTGCGCTGATGGCTTCTGTTGGGACGCATGGTGAATGGAGAAGCGTCAGGCTTGCTGGGGAGGAGGAGAGGTTTTCTGGCAGGGGAGTGGCCCCTGGATCAACTTTCTCTCGGCTAAAGCGGGATGCCTCCCCAGCCCAGCGGACAGACAGACTCCCTGCTTCTGTCAGAGCGCGGCTGGAAGACGGGACATCAAACACAAGACAGGGAGGAGACGTGCGGAGCCCGGGGTGGCGGCGCCGGCCCTGCGAGCTGCGTGCAGGGGAGCCCGGCTCAGCCTGGTGTCTGCGCCGCCCTGCCCGCGAGCTGACCGGGCGCAAGGCTGGGAGGAGGCTGGTGTCTCCTTCGGAAGTCCTGGACAAGCCCAGTGTCAGCTCGGGTCCACCTGCTTTCCCGGGTCCACTAATGCCACCAATGTACCCCTCTGGCCAGCGGGTCCGGGCTCTGCAGACTCACACCACGGCGCTGTTCACATCCACCCCTTTGTTGCTCTGTGAGGAGGTCATGGGATACTCAGCAACACTGGTGCCATTCTCCTCTTTTCTCAGTGGTTTCCTGGGTGGGGAGGCAGGGACAGCCGTTAATGACCACGGACTGGGGTGGGGTATCATGTCCTTTCAGGGAGCCCACCAGGCTCTGTTTTGGGTTAGCATCCTTGGGCTGCTGGTCTGAGGTGAGACCACCTCAGAAGCTGGAGGCGGTCTCAACGAAGGTGACTGCATCATGTGTCATGCACACCAGGGCACAGTTGAGAGTGAAACAGGGGAGCTTTTAATAATGAAGCAGGGACCACAGGCATGAATCGGGACTGTTCCGGACAAACGAGAAAGGAGAATGTATGGCCAGCCTAGTAGGACACAGGGTCGGGCTTTGATCGATCTCACTGATTGTGAGCGAGCAGATGTGAAGATGACTATTTGGGGGTGCAGAGTGAAAGAGGAGAGGTGCCAGAGCTTGGATTTTGCAGCCTTGCCTCTGTGTGGTCAGAGGTAAGTGGAAAATGTGATGAAGAGGATGGCAGTGAAGGTGATGCTGGTGGTGGTGATGGGGCTTGAGGTGGCGGGAAC